ACATGTAAACAAAGTAGTTATTAAAATTATTATGTCAGTACAAACACAAATACTGCACCTTTCCCCTATTTCCTTTAATATTTTACAATACACATACACACGCTCTAGCATACACTCTCACACACATGCACGCATACACACACATATATGTGTGTATGCTAGTGCGTGCGCGCGCGTGTGTATATATATATATATATATATATATATATATATATATATATATATATATATATATATATATATATATATAATGATCACAGTATGACATATAGATGTCACCTACCGAAAATACTGCGTGCTGCCGGCTTTTTATTTTTTATTTTTAAAAGTTATATTGGTTCCACTGTCGATCCAGCTATAAATGGGTACCCGATTAGGTCCTGGAAAGTAAAGGTGGCCTGCGTGATGGTGACCACATCAAACCCCGAGTGCTGAATGGTCTAAAAATATAGGTCTAGCCCTATATGCCCGATACCCCTGAAAGCGTGGAAAAGAGTCTCTTAACGGAAATATGCGAAGAAAAAACTAAGTGACTACAGAAAAGCAAAGGACCCTGTCTCGTGCCTTGACCCTTGTTGGGTATGTGGTGTAAGCTTCATACTGATACGGATATACCCGATGATGGATCGATATCACGTCGCTAGCGGAATACATCCTGGTGCACATTTTAGCCTGGATCGACTTCGTAGTCAAGTACATTTCAAGTAATGGAACAGTTTACCCCAGTGGCGCATCACGGTAACGAGGCTAGACTCGTATATTTATAGATCCATCAGTGTTCAGTGGGTCATGTGATCAACATCAAACTGATTGCCAATAATTTCTAGAACATGACGTGATAACTTGAGTCCATGTGGGTTCACGGGTCACATTCTACGAAGACAAAGAAGAGATTCACTGCCTCCCTCAGATGGACTCACTGCCTCCCCCAGATAGACTCGCGGCTTCCCTCAGACTCACTGCCTCCCTCATATAGACTCACTGCCTCCCTCAGATAGACTTACGGCCTCCCTCAGATAGACTCAACACCTCCCTCGAATAGATATACTGCCTCCCTTAAAAAATACCGCAGACCTCCCCCCCCTCCTTCAAATAGACTCACTGCCTCCCTCAAATAGACTTACTGCCTCCCTTAAATAGACGTACTGCCTTACTCAAATAGACCCACCCCCCTCCCCCTTAAAATCGACTCACTGCCTCCCTCAATAGAATCACTGCCTCCCTCGAATACACTCACTGCCTCCCTCAATAGAATCACTGCCTCCCTCAATAGAATCACTGCCTCCCTCGAATACACTCACTGCCTCCCTTAATAGAATCACTGCCTCCCTCAATAGAATCACTGCCTCCCTCAAATAAACCCTCTCCCCCTCAAACAGACCCACTACCTCCCTAAAAAACCACTGCCTCCCTCAAATAGACTCACTGCCTCCCTAAAAAAACCACTGCCTCCCTCAAATAGACTCACTGCCTCCCTAAAAAAAAACACTGCCTCTCTCAAATATACTCACTGCCTCTATTAAAAAAAACCACTGCCTCCCTCAAATATACTCACTGCCTCCCTCAAATAAACCCCTGGGCCTGACACTCCTATAGACTCACTGACCCCCTCAAATAGACTGACTGCCCCACTCCCTCCAATAGACACACTGCCTCCCTAAAAGTAAATCGTTAAAAAAAAAAAAAAAAAACTAATTATGGATATTTTTGTCGAAGTGAGAGCAAATCTGTATTAGAGGCGAGGAATCAACAGTCCGCATACAAGCAAGCCAGATATGTGAAACGGATTTGCACTCGATATTCCAGTTCTAGAACAAGACCTAAGTTCAGAAGACCAACAACCAGAACTTTCTGCCGGTAAATGCTACGAAGAAAAAGAACACTTGATACATATATTTCAGGTAGTTTCGAACCGAAGATTTTCGAGGCGACAGGCCAGCATCAAGCCACCCTTGTAGCCAAAAAGAATTAAATTTAAAAAAAATTCACGTGTTGATAGGTCTTGAAACACAAGGTCAGTAGACTGTCAGACAAGCGGGCGAGGTCCTTTCTTACTGTAGCACTCACAATTCATGACAGCAGAGGTCATACATGACACAATCATGTTGGCATGTACGGTTCTGGGTAGTCTGTTTGTTTGTTTGTTTTAGTATCCAGAAGCCATGAGTTGTTAACCCTTAGGCTCGGTATTATGGCCTTGATTCCATTGTAAATACCGTAAATCTGGGAGAAATGTGGCTTTTCTGCCTACCCCCTAGAGTAAGCCCGGACCACAAGGAGTTCGTCATCCAGTCACCGCGCAATCCGGTTTAGCCAACTACGCTAGAGAGCCGGAACTCGGTAGTCTGTATAACAGTTAACTGGAAAAAAAAAATTCCACAAAAAGAAACAATGGTTGACATTACATGTACTTGGCATTTTCAACACAAGTTATAGGTCAATAAAACATTACAAGGATAATAATGATGAGTAATAGCCACTTTTAAGGGTTAAAAATAAAGAAAAAGTTATGAAATCAGGTGCTCGGGTAATTCTTTGAAGTCTATTATCTTTGAGCGACTGGCAGATAAAAAAATGAGTAATAGATAAAACAGGATATATTAGGATTTTCAAGTTTACGATTATCTGTTCTTCCAACAGGCAAGGGTGTTTGAGAGGAAGAATCCATCAAGTTTCTGACTAGTGTGTTATGAAAAAGATCATAAGAGTTGTCAAGCTTCAGTGGGTTTGGAAAGAGTGTTAAGGCGTCGAATCAGAAAACAAGAAGTCAAGATATATTTGAATAGCTAGCCTCCTGCTGAGAGTCACACAGATAACGAAGTTCCGCAGCTTCGGCTACGAACCTCGGTGATCTCCCCAGGGAACGCAGATGGTTGGTAGCCGAACCAGGGCGCGCTCGTTGATTTTCTATATTACGGTTAGAAGTTGTTAGTGACTCTGTTAGTCTATATCTGTCTCCAATCCTTTTTAAAATCTTTGGATTCTTTCTCATTATGTGGCCGGTCCATTTTAGCTTTTGTTTCGCAGTCATTTAATTAAGAATATTCTTCACCAGATTTTCTTATCGTTTCATTTCACAAGCGATATCTTTTTTGTTTTGTTTCGTTGCTTTTCTCGTTGATCTCATTTCACACGTGATTTTGTTTTCTAGTTTTCTTTGATTTGTCTCGAAGTCGGCAACGGTAACCTTTATTGACCGCATTTGTAATTTGTCTTTTTATCAGTTTAGACATTTTAGAAAGGAAACTACAACCAGCTCTTCTACATCTTGTTCTCTTTGTGACCAGTCACCATGAGTAGCTAAGCTACTAAATTAAAGAATTTTTTTTTAAAACAAATCTTTTATTGATTGTAGTTGACAGATGTCGATCGAAGGTTGAAGCTGTTTAACTGGTACATGTAAGTTTCTAAAATTTTAAACCAACATTAACAATAGCATAGTTTTGGTGTTATGGAAAGACGTTAACAGACCCAACAAAACAAATGAACATTGAATACAATAAAGTGATTTAGGAAACACACAGTTTCGAACATGGACATTTATTGTAATATAGTTAAATGACTGAATTACCTTTTTTTTTTTTTTTTTTTTTTTTTTTTTGAAGTAGATAAAGTGATAAAAAAGTAAGTAACATGAAAGCGCTAATGTGTTTTTTTTCCCCTTACAGAAACACACCGATCCAAAATCAAGCCTAGCCTCTCCAATGAGAGAGGTTATAAATCTCTAGAGAACCGCCTCATCCAGCTAATGGATTCCAATTTAACTAATATTTCTGAATTACCGAACTAGCCCTTTACATCTTTTTCTGAATGTATTTATTTCCGGCGGGCACACACGGGTCAGAAATTCAACTGGCCAGACAGATGTGTGATTACTCTCTGAGACACTTAATTTAAGTGACTTTTTTTTTAAATTTAAATTTGTTTAATTCAGTTTTTGTGTTTGTGGTATTGTATATTCGTGTAATGTTCTGATGAAGGCTTCAAGCCGCAACGTTCACTTGTCGTTTGTGTTTGTGATAATATGAAGCTAGATGGTTTTAGTTTTCTTAAGGTTTGAGAGCTTTTCTTGAGACAAATATGTTCAATGGCCAATTTGTTACCCAAGTATAGTGACTACTGTTGCGAAAGAGTAAGTAAAGGACTCTTGGCAGGTCTTTGGTAGATCGGACATTTAGAGCTACATATTTATTTATAGACCAATAAGCGCTCGATAGGTAATATTGTTAACATCCCACTGCCACCTTTACTTCCCATTATATTACCCGTGGGTCGATACGGCAGCAAAGGTACATTTTGGAAGGAAAAGATCCGTAACTTAAGTTATTGACGTGTTAGAGGAAAGTAAAATGGTTTCGAAAATTATTTTTCTCACACACAAGGCTAGATTATTGATTTTCTTTGAAGTATGAAAAAGTGCTAGTGTTACAGTATTCATGATAACAATATTTAAATGATTATAGCATTCGGGGCTCATACTTTGTGAACCATCAGCGTGTACAGCCTATGTACATTACACTTTATATCTGAAAAAAGGTCCCACGGAATGAGGAACATCTCAACAAAAACACACACACAAAATACATCCTACATTAAACTGTCGCATCGTGTTCTGCTATCACATGATGCGATGTAACATTGGTATTTACTACATTGTTATTTTCATTAAAATCAAAAAGCGGTCAATTAAAATTTCTTCACAGTCTGTGATCTACACTTTCTTCACCTTGTTACTGTCTCTGTAATTATTTATCGATCATCTCGAGCAGAATATGTGATACATTGTGTAAAGACGAATTACTCGATCCTCTTGCTTCTATCACTCAAGAAATTTAGTTTTCTTATTCATGATGAGAACAGCATTATTAATACAACAGAATACAGTTGCCTGCTATTCACAATTTCCCAAATTCAATTAGGACTGAGTGTGTAATCAAAAATAAACGAAGCGAACTTCTCTGGGCAGCGTTTCAATACAACAGGGACGCAAAGCTTATCAATCAATAAGCTTTCAGTCTTTGACTGTCCGAACTGTCCCTGGAATTATCTTTCGATTTCCACGAGTCCTGGGAGTTAGTAAGCACGTCTGCGTTAAGTGTTGTTTCCGTGAAAGTTTTCTTCTTGTTGGTCGTGTCGGCCACACTTTCTGCTACAGACAGGCCACTCATCTGCGTAATTACACGCTGATCAGATGAATGTTCAGCGTGTGCTTCAGAATAATTCACACTCGAGTGTAGCCTGCAAGAGACGGGGTCTGCTGGTTCAGGGTTTTTGCCACTGATCTCTGATGAACAGCTACAGGAGGTCGATGGAGTGCTTACCAGGGGTACACACTCTTGTTCAGAGTGAAGTTTTGGTTGTTGTTCCTGCTTCTCTTCACTGACTTTGCTCAATTTGTGATGGGCGAAAGATATACTGCTGATGTCTTTAGGACTGAAGTTGAACGAGAAGCGTTTACCTGCTGAATTTCGCAGGATTCTGAGATCTGTTGGAGGTGGTGTTGGAGGTCGTCCTCGACTGACCCGAAACATATCTTCTGGACAAGTATTGGCCCGGCGTCTAGGAAAAGGAGGAATGAGAAAGGAATCTTCCTCATCGTCCTCAGTACGTCCGCCATCTCGACAGTCTTCTCCAGTGACTGTAATTTCGGGTACAGGGTTGATGTGAAGGTGAAGGCCAACGGGGTCAGAGTTGGCCCTGGGGCGCTTGGTTTCATCCACGCTCAGATACTGGGGACTTGGTGTCTTGTCTGGAGACGATTCTTGTGTCAGTTTTAACTTCTTCGTAGATTCGCAGAATTTAGCCATCACTGAGAACGGAATCTGTGTTTATGATCTGAAAAATAACAAGCAAATGCGTATTAAATATCTGCCGGCTAATAGTAGCCATTATTTCTCACAAGACTGATTAGAGTAACGAAACAAAAAAGCGCACACTAAATAAGATTTGACTAATTAATAATTAATTTTTCTCAGCAGGATATATTAGAATAAAGAAAGCCATGAATGTTTCTAATTATCTTATTCTAATTACAAAAAAATACATTTTTGTTTGATTGAATGTGATCACGTACCGGCAATTCTTCAATCTAATTACAGTATATTCACATAATGTTTGTTTTCTCCTTACTATTTCCTGGAGGTTTAATATTAAGGTGACTTAAAGTGCCACACAATGGATATCACTCCTCTCTAGCGAATCTCTACACCCTGTTCCAGCTCCAGTGGAGTTATTCTGACTCACGTAACGGCTACATTAAGCATTACCCTCTTTAGCCTGTAGTCCTGAGTTGAAAAGGTACAAATGAAGCAAATAGTTAATTCATCACATATGTATAGTAGGCGTGACCTACTCAGTCGCAGTTTACAGAACGAAATGTTAACATAACCGATGTTTTGATAACATTCCTGTAAATTCCACCAGGGTCGACGTTCTAGTTTAACATCCAGTTTGTGACTTGGCACTAAAATGATGAAATGTTTAAACAGATTACACTTCCGGTGTTTTGCAGTCTTAAACGTCTGCTATCTGTGCTCCATTTAGTATTGGTAAATACTGCGTCATTTCAGGTGGGACAGATTAATTGTTACAGGATATTTACTCAACATAAAAAACATGACGTAATTTAGGTGCTTGATTGTCATTGCAATTGCAAACACTGATAAGGGTATTAGGAGTTAAATACAAAACATGGTATGAGTTTATATTGCCTGCTTCCAGTGCTGAAGTTTGTCTATATCTTAATATTTTCCTCCCACATGAACCAGTTTCTACATCTTAACCGCCTGTCTATAACTGTCCCTCCAGTATAATTTTCTTAAGGTTATGTTTTCAATGTGTGTTTATAAATCTCTCTCTCTCTCTCTCTCTCTCTCTCTCTCTCTCTCTCTCTCTCTCTCTCTCTCTCTCTCTCTATGTATATATATATATATATATATATATATATATATATATATATATATATAAATTATAGCATAAGGCATGGTACAAGGAAGGAGGGGCAGGAGCCGACCGACACGAAGATGGGCACAGGATATAAGTGTCTCCTTGAGTATGAAAGTACATGAGGCTGGAGAACTAGCGAGAGACCGAGTTTCTTTCAGACAGACCGTGATGAGAGCGACGTTCTGCAAAGGACCTGCTACATGATGATGATAATGATGATATATATATATATATATATATATATATATATATATATATATATATATATACATATATATATATATATATATATATATATACATACACACACACACACATATATATATATATATATATATATATATATATATATATATATATATATATATATATATACAGACATGCATTTCCTTTACATGTGTTTTTTCCTTTCAAAAACTCGCAGCCTCTTAAAAATACATACACAAATAGATTGCTTTTGTATCGTCCAAAAACAACTCATGCTTCTGTACATTCACACATCCAGGGCTAGATTTTGCTTTTAAATTGCTTGCTGTATATATTACTGTTTAAGTACTTGCGTACATGATAACATCAGAGGCAAGATGTGTCAAAGAGGTTAAATGTAAAATCTTTCAATCAAAGGCAACACTTTACAAAATGAAGTATATTTTATGCAGTCTTTCTTAGTCAACTGAGACGAGAAAGAAAATTCTAAAAAACTATAAAAATACTATCTTGATATACGGAAGTGAATCATGGGCAGTTAGGAAATTATTGAAAACTTATTTGGAAGTTGCGGAGATGTGGTTTTATAGACGAACGATGAGAAAACATGGATTTAACACCAAAAAAAAAATGAAGATGTCTTGAAAGAAACTGACTTACGAAGAGAACTGATTGCCCACATCAGAAAGAGACAATCTACCATCTTTGGTCATGTGATGAGAAGGGGAAAACTAGAGTACATCGTAATAGTAGGAAAGCTGGAGGGGAGGAAGCAGTGGGAGACCAAGGGAGAGAATGCTGGACAGTGTGACATCATGGCATGGAGGATCATCTGTATCAGAGTTGATGGAAAGTACACGAGACAGAAGGTTATGGACAGACATGACTACCAAAGCCACACGGCATGGTCTTTAAGAATTTTAAATATTGAATTAAGAATCGATATCACAGCACTCGGAACACTTCCATAAGTGCCGTCCCCATCTACAGCAGCAAGCGAAGAGCTCCAATTCCGATGGTACTAGTAATCGTCTGATTGTATATCCGTCTCATCCTTGCCCTGAGTGTTGAGCGTCGGCCAGATTCCCTGGTAACTCCTCGCAGCGCCATTCACCCTGGACCTTAATGATCTATTTGCGCCTCCGCACAGTTCACTCACTCCTAAAGGGCCCTGACAATGTATAACGTCATACATCAATTCACCACCAAGTGACGCAGAGCCAGCCAGTCCATCTGCCTGCTAGTTTCCAAACACACCAGCATGACCTGAAGAAAATACCCAAAGGGTGCTAACTACCTGGGTACCTCTAAAGACTTTAAGAAGAAGAAAATATGTCTGTACTGTGACTGGACTGAGCAGGCCATTTTTTTTATACATGCATAAATGTTTATTTCTAACAGAATCTGGCATTGTACTGTCATGACACACTCTATTAACATCGTCTCACACACATCGGCTCAACTTGTTTACAATAAACAATGGGTCACATTTTCAACTAGAGAAGCCAGAAGCAATTATACAGGTGTTTACAAAAGTCATTTTACGTTGCAGTTTATTTGTCTTAAACCAGTGATTCCCAGACTGTGCGCCCCGGGAGCCGCGACCTTTTCACAGGGGCGCCGCGAAATATTCGACCATACACGAGTTTTACTTGTTTTGATTTCTTACATACGAATAGTCACACTTTTACATAGGTTAGGGCGCTATGAAAAATTTGTTATTGAAAACAGGTTCCGCGACTAAGAAAAGTTTTGGAAACACTGACTTAAACCAATTAGTCGGGTAATACACTCCAAGAATCTAGCTGGCCTAATCTATGTGACAGAAAAAATCAATCTGTTGTATTGGAACTTCTAACAGTACACAAGACATATATAATATACGTAAATTGATTGCTCGGAGCTATGCACACAAAGTCCCATGTGGATAAGTGAAACAAACATTGCACTAATTAGCAATAGATCAGCTGCGTTCCGTCTACAGTAATTTGTTAGATACTTCATCACTAATATAGGTGTTTAAACTGATGAGAGAGAATATATTCATCACTTTGTCATTCTCTTGGATAAATCAACGCCCCAGTATAATGATCAACAGATGTAGCCCAGTCTGTGTTACAAAACAGTGGAGTTCTAACGCCTAAAAACTTGAACTACTTGGAATTCGAACTAAATTTTCAAGTAAATTCTCCCTTCGAACTCGAAATCCGCCATGGAAATCGAACGCTGGCACGTGCTGGTCACGGGACTAAACTGAGAACGTCCAGGAGCTTCAGCACTCTCCCAATCAGCAGAGAAGAGAAATTACGGAAGACTTTTTTTCTGGGAGAAAGAGTTGAAGGCTGGAAAGATTAGCATTGCTGTAATCCAACATATTTTGACAGCGTGGTGGAAAACGCAAGAAGGTGCCGATAGATGGCACCCTGATAGAGCCATAGTCAACGTATATAAATCTTGTCGGTGAAAATATTATCTTTAATTTTATAAAAGTAAAAAAAAAAAAAATGATCGCAAACACCAGAGCACTTCGGACAGCTGGCTGTCGGCAAATAAATTAGCGACCCCTAGTCAGTAACCGTCGGCTCTGTGGCTAAGTCGATGCGAACGCTTTGGGTTGGTTCTGCAACGTCCTGTAAAGGATATGCAATTAACCAGATCAGTAACAAGCGGTGAACGACTAGGATATGAACCACGCAAAAAACAAAAAGACTTCTTATATGGTCATAAAAAATCACTCACCTTCCCCCCAAAAATAACCCCAAACCCACTTTCCTCCTTATATTTATGTGTGCTATGTCACCATTTTGACATAGGTGCAGTAAATACCATTTTTGAATGTCGAAGTACTAATGTATACATCGGGAGCTGACGTGGTCTAGTGGCTAGACTCTTGCCTGCGGATCGGAAGGTCGTGGGTTCGGGTCCTAACGGAGACCAAACCTTTTTAAAAAAATGACCTTTGCTCGCAGGTCGATCCAGCCTTTTTGGGTACCAGGTACAGTCCTAGGAAGTAAAGGCAGGAGGCGTGATGCTGATCACGTCACACACCATGTGCCGTTCAGTCTATAAAATATACGTCTAACCCTAAATACCCAATACGCCTGAAGGTGTGGGAAAGGGAACTTTACCTTTTACTGTATACCTCACTACGTCATTCTTACATTCATAGAACCGCAGGTTACACCTGGCAGCTGGTGTAACTGTTGCAGGCGCCCCAGTTACAACTTCTTTGTAGGTGTAATAGGGTAGCTGAAATTTGCTTTGTTGACCTGCCATAGAGACTAACATTTTTGTAATCTCAAGGCATCAAACCTCCAAGTAGCAGCCTGGGAGGGTAAAAAAATCACAGAACGATGTAGACGCCACAGATAACCTAATTACGGCATCATTGCAATTTTAACGGGCTATCTGGGTTGTGCCAAGCTTGATTGAAATCGTTGACAAAATTCTTTTAGTCTATGTGAAATCGATTTATTTACACTCTTGGAACTTTAACACCCGAAGGACTAAACTGTCAACACAGTTTGATCTAAAATTCTCGAGTTACGGCCCTTGGCATTGTAGTCGTATTTATTCTCCGATTTAGTATGTTCTTTTTTTTTTTTTTGCACTGGCAAGATATCCACGTGGCTGTATCTGGATACGTGTGCTAAAG